ATCACAAAGGTCATGGGGGAATGCATTGGCTAGCAGTTGGCTTCCAAGCAGAGGTCAGAGTTTTGGTGATAAATATTAAAGCCCTAAAAGGTTCAGATTCAGCAATCCAAAGAAATGTGTGTGCGCACACACACCAGCTGGTCTGTACCATAAAATCTGACACGGAATACTTTTGTTTGAAGCCAGGTTCTGTAGTTAATACAATCACCTTCCTGGCCTCAGACAAGTTCCAGACTGGTTGTAGATCATATTTCAGAGGAAGGCAATAGCAACTTACCTGTGCATAATCTTTACCTAAGGAAATTCTATAAAAATTGTGTTGTTGCCATATGTTGACAGATGAGTTCAAGGCAAATACACTTACACATAAACTGTCCTTTTCCTATCAGCATGCTGATGTTATTCCTCGCTCTTTTTTGGTCCTAAATTCTATTCATGTTTTATGTTTGTTCTGTTAATACTGGCAACAAGACTGTCCTCCCTCCTTGGCCCATTTTTATTTTTCTGTTTCAGGAAACATTCTTTACACTTCCAGTATCAGCTGCATCTGTGGAGTGTCGGTATTTCAATGTCTCAACTTGTTAGGGACAAAACCAAAGTAATTACTTAGTTTCTCTTTCTACATATTTCTATTTCTTTTTCTTATTCTTTGTTTTGTTTCTATTTCTATCTATGTCAGTACTTACGATTTTGACTTTTTATTTCAGGCCTTGCTGTTGAACTTGTTAATTTTTTTCTGTAGTGTTATTGAATTGATTATCTGCTTAAATCCTGTGAACCTTTCTCTTGTCTTCTTAATATTTTAAAAAATCTGTACTTGCATTTATTGTTAGAACAGTGACTAATATCTGCCTGTGTTTTTCCATCTGTCTGTCTGTCTGTCATCTAACTTGAGCTGTTTAGCTTATTGTAGACTGCCTTTGCTTTCACTTTCCACTTTGTACTTTTGATTTCTGTTCACAGTTGTGTGGCCAATGTAATCCACCTAATCCATGGTGCTTTTATCATACCACTCTTCTTTGCTGTTCACTCCCCTTGCATCTATTACCTTTCGTTATCTCCTCTAAACTGTTGCTACTTATTTTAAAGCCTTTTATAGCTTCAGTTTTTATGTTGCCTCTGATCTCTTGCTGTGCTCCACTCCAAAAATCTTCATTTTTCTTGTCCTTGCACTAAAATTTCTCCTTGCTGCTACCTCCAATCTCTTAACCTTGTGTTCAGAACTCTCCTTGATAAATTTCTCATTTTTTCCTCACTATCTGTGTTTTTATACAATAAATTGCATTTAAAGTAGCCACAAAAGATAAATGTTATGAAGGTGGGACAAAGCTGTGTATGGAAATTTTCTCCCCCCAAAGGCTGCTGTTTTGAGTTTATAGCTGACCAGTTTTCAAATATTCACCTCCCATTACCTGTCTACCAAATGGAATACACACACACACACACACACACACACATGTATGGATATCTTTGTGACTTAATCAGCCTTACTTTCCTATATTTATATTTCATGACTCCCTCAGTTAGCAGTAGGAAACCTCCAAAGGCCTAGGAGCTACACATGTACCCTACTAGAATTTGGACAGCTATATGATTGTAAACAAATATTTATAAAAACTGGAAATGAGGCTTTGCACCCTCAAAGGAAGCCACTTTGACTGTTTACTTTCTAATTTTTTGAAATTCCATAGGGTAGTAAAATTGTGTCCCTAATACAACATTGCAAAACCTAGATTTGCCTTTTGGTTTTCTTTTCCAAAGAGTTATGAAGGTTGCGGCAAAGTCATAGTTGGTTGAATCTGTGAATATTGAATCTGTGGTTATAAGGGGCCCACTGTATAGGCTACTGTTTTAAGTTTATAGCTGACCAGTTTTCAAATATTCGCTTTTCCATAAATCACTTGCAAAATATTATAAAAGCAAGCATCTCTGGTTCCATTTTTAGACTGTAAAGTGGGAGAAATAGTTATCAAAATGTAGCAACTGTTGAATAAGTATAAAGAATCAAAGCCTATTCCAGATTTAAAATGTGGTATAAATGTTGAAAGAGGTTACATAATCCAATTGTTCAGAAAGTTTTCATTAGCTGGAACTTCACAAGGAAGAGTATGAAGGAAGATAGTTTAAAATCCTGGTGTTTGATGGTAGTTCAAGCAGTTGTAATGCTTCCCAATCTCCCAGCCATCATTAAGAGGCTGGCAATGTCATGCAGGACCTGTACACTCTTCTCAGTGTTACAGTATTGTATGTATTGTACTATAATTTTCAGCCATTAGAAACTGAAGGTGCTATTTTCATTTTCTTCACTGGTGTCAGACCATTGATCTTCATAGTAGTTCACACACCACTCTTCTACATTCTTCAACTAGAGAAATGGTGGCGAAGCTATGGCATTCATGACAGAAAAGGCATGCAGCACCCTCTCTCCTGGCACAGGAGTCATCACCTGCCCCCCCCCACTTGCCATTCCTCTCCCCACTGGTACGCCTATTGCCTGCCCCCTTGCTCACCCATTGCTTGCCCCCACTCAAAGCTCACCTGCCGTTTACTTGCCCCCATACTTACTTGCCACTTGCCCACCCCCTTTCAACCCTCCAAATGTTGTTAGAATGGACCAAAGAACCATCATGGTACTGTTTAGCGTATCTGGAAAAATGTGTGTATGGAGATAAGAATAGGATGTATTGCTAGTGTCACTATGTTCTTCATTTTAGTAGAGGAGAAAAGAGCAAAGGGATAAAAATCAAAGTCTAATTTCTCACCTTTATAACAATATAATTACATCCCATCTGTTCAATATATTTATCTCCTGTGTATTTTCGGGGGTTTCTGCTGTGCTTAACAACAATTTTGAGATCAGCAAGCAAAGGCTGAGCTGCACAAAAAGCTTTCTCTTTTTAAAAAAAAATGAGAAAGTAGAAGAAAGTTTATAAGATAAGAGGCCACAGAAGGTGACTCAATGCTGTTGGAGTTCCTGCACTGAGTTCCCTTGGCAATTGATCAATAACTGGTCCCATTGCCTGGGTCACCAATAGTAACCTTGGCAATTAATAAACTTAGGCTTAATATATGAGAAAGGAGTGAGAATAAAGATCTATTTTAGAGTGGCTGTTATTGTTGGGAAAGATAATTTTGCAGGTTTTCCTCATACAGTTGTTCTTATAAGTGACCTCTGGAATGATACATTTAAGAGCAGGGATTTTAGCTGTTTCTGCTCCTGAATCTCATCATACTCTTATCCAACACATAAGGGAGCACAAGCATGAAGCTTACCCATCTTTCTTCAAAATGGAATGAATTCTCAGGGACATTTTGTGTCAAGGTAGCTCAAGAGTAAATCTCAGCCTTAGTTTTTTTGTGTGCATTTCAATTGTCCGTGTGAGTTATCTGGTCATATTACTACTATAGCTTTGTGTCATTGTAGCCAGGTCTTATATCTGAAGATACGATACACTAATTTTAGCTGTGCAAATGCCCTCCCATCCATAGCTATTCCTGGATTCTAGTCTATGCATCCAGGCTCAGATGTGAATCCTGAAAAACACCCATGCTGCAAGCCTGAAATTTCTGGGGGTAGTGTAACATCATCCAGCACATTTGAGTCCCTGTTTTAGGATCTGCCTTTCATCTGACCAGAAGCAGCTCTGTCTTGTATGGATTCCATTTCAGTTTCTTTACCCTCATCCATGCTTACCCTTACTGACAACAAGCATTGGTTCAATATCAAAACAGATTAGCTTGGTGCTGATGGAATAGTGTTGTGAGTCATCAGCTACCAGCAGTTTCATGTAGATGTTATACAGCACAATTGACAAAACAGAACCCTGAGGGACCCTACAGACCAACCAGAGTGGCATCAAACAGTATTCTCCCAGCATCAATCTCTGAATTCATACTTCCAAAAAAGAATGAAATCGCTGTCCACAAATCCCATTCCACAAAGTCTTCTCCCTGCCTAGGTCATCTACCAAGGCAACCAAAACCTTCTCTGTCCTATAACCAAGCCTGAAGCAAAACTGAAATTGATCAAGATAATCAATCCATCACATCCAGGAACCCCTGAAACTGCTCCAGAATCTTGCCCCCCAAAAAGGAATATTAATAAGCAAAAGAAAATTATTCAAAAACGTGGGATCCAGGGAGGTCTTTAAAAAATGAATGGCCTCATCAAGGCCTCCTTTTAGCAATAAGGCATTCATGACTCCCCTTATTCTCTTAACCTGTCAACCTTTAGCTTCTTTCAGAAACCAAAAATAAAGATCCAGTTAACATGTGGGGGCTCTCACCTCTCTAAAGATCCTGCTGACATCCTCAGGCTGCACAAATTGAAATGTATCCAACAATACAGGGGAACGAGGCAACCAATATTACATCTGCTGTACCTGTCCCAGCTACACGCAATTCGGAGTGGATCCAAGTGAATATGTCTTTAAAATGTTAAAATGTAGCGCACTAGGCTGTGGAGTGGTCTTTGTTTTCTTCTTAGGAGTCAGACTGTAAAAGTCCTCTGGTTACTTGAGACAGTTCAGGTGGAAGACACTGTGCAGTCACAATGGTGGCAGAGAAGTATAATTTCTTCACTGCCACCATCGCCATGGCATAGGCCTTCCAATGAGCTTCAAGATGTTTTGGAGTTCAGCTCCCAAGCAGAGGCTAAAGACCCATCTGGAGATGTGGCAATTCCAGGTTTTCTCTGTTAAGCATGAAGTGGGACTAGATAGCCAACAAACTTTATGACTCTATGCTTGCCACCCGCCAGCTTTGTACAGTAGGAGATAAAGAGGGAGTGCCTCACAACACTGCACAAGAAAGCCCTCTATGGAGATGTGGATACTTTCTAGACCCTGCCTTATCGATTCAGTCTCTTATATTTTCTTGCTTATTTTTTTAAAACCTGTTTATTTGTTTTCCACTAAAGCCAATTGAAACAAAAAAAAACCTTTCCAAGTTATTTTGAAATTTAATGCAATAATGTTTATTTATTCTTCTCTTCCTTGCAGATCTGGAAAAATTCAAAACCCGGACTAGGAGTACAGTGTCTGTCCGACAAGGACAGGGGATGGTATTGCTGTGTGGACCACCACCACATTCTGGAGGTGAGTTGTATAAAGCCCATCAACTTCTGTGCCTTTTGGAAACCAAAAATCTTATTTCTGCATATTAAGAAAGAGTATGGGTAAGTCCTATTGAAATGGACAGGATTTATACATAAATAATTATTCATTATACTTATATTGTGTCAAAGAGATGTTGGATACTAAATCATAACAAATTAACAATATTTAACCAACACTTAAAATTATTCCTTATTTTGGAGGTGCTTTGATTGAAATTTTACTCATATTTCTTGCACATGTAAAATATTTTTCTCATAAGTAAAAATTCAAAACAGCACATATTCCTTCACTTTGTCATCTAAACAAAATAATAATTCATTTTCAGAGGCTGAAACCTTGTGGTGATAAAAAGGGACACACACACACACATATATATATTATGCAGTGTTGTTCCCCCATGTTTTTTACTATGATTTAGGGCAGTGATGTCCAACCATTGGTCCTCCTGGTGTTTTTGGACTTCAGCTCCTAGAATTCCTGAGCATTGGGCAAGCTGGCCAAGGCTTCAGGTATTTGGAGTCGCAAATGCCTGGAGAACAAGTTTGATGCCACTGATTTAGAGCAATGTTACTCAAAGTGATGGTCTAATGGCTGCTCATTTCTAGTGATGTTTGAATTGGCATTTAATAGCCATGATTTAATTTCTTTGCATATGTAACATTGCTGAATATTTCATTGGATTGCTTTTTAATGTTTTTTGCTGCCTTCCAAAGCTATTTGGAAGGGGAAATATAAAAAAGTTGGTAAAATCACAGGGGTAGGAGTTTAGGCCACTTAATTTTATCCCACCCACCCCTCACTTGATATAAAAAAATCCCAAAGTATAGTCCCCTTCAACATTCTGCAGAGATGGAAACCCTTCATATGTATCCAACATATTCATTGTAGATTCCAGCAAAATACAGAATGACATTTTCTCATGGACTACGTTGGAAATATGCAGGAAGTATAGTGTGCAGTAAACTGTAGTAAATAAATGGGTGATGCCTTAACATACAGTCGTGAAAGTTATGAGTTTTGTTATGATTTGTGGATAGGTTGAGGGTAAGTACAGAGAGCCACCATTGATTTCATTTGAAAATGTTAACTGGGTGTATTTTGTTTTAGTGGCCTCATTTTCCAGAAAGCTCAGTAAATAAACAGTCTAAAATGTATGTCTTGTGAAAATTTATGTCTTGCAAAGGTTTCATCCTGATTTTCCTGTCCTCATAGTTTTTATTGGAAAGATCCTTGTTCTGTTCTATTTAATATGTATTTGTGACAGAATGCATGTCTGAAAGGAGAACACAGCTAACTACATGAGTTTTCCTTTAAAAGAGTGAATTAGTACTACATCTTTAATCCAAAAAAGATATTACACACACACACACACTTTAGAATAAATCAACTGCACATATTTTAAGATATTCTAAATCTTAAATGCGACCTCAAAAAGAATAGAATGTTCATGTTTCTTACTCAATTAAACCAGTCATTTTATTTGTTTTCCTCTGAAGACATGGGATGTTTAGCAAAGCTCTTTCCTTAACTGGAGCCATTTTCCTTGATGCCATTGTTCAGAAAATGAAGTTAACAGGGAGGTTGCATTAGCATCAGTCAATTGGTGGCAGATAGCAATTGAAGAGACAAACGAAATTATCATGTTTCAGGAAGGATTTTCTACAAAAAATATTTTTTGTTATCCAACGACAACACAAAATTGTGCCATTATGTGAAAGCCTAGTTTTAAAGATCTACCATATTCCAACAGTACCAAAGAACAAATGACTTAGAGAAATGTCTGCAACAACCATGTCATGAGTGCTTAAAATTGTTCAATGCGAACACAAATTTGGCTAATAGGAATCAGCCAAAATAAGAGTCCTACTTTGGCCACATGGAAGCATATCCATAGTTTAAGATTAGCTTTCAGTATAGTGGCAGTTGTGGTGTATTGTCATGTACTATATCAAAGCACTACCAGGCATAAGATATGCATGCATAATGCTTATTATTTACTTAATTGACTCATATATAACTATAAAACTTGCACATACACAGTGTTATTACTTATTTTATATAGCTGTATAAATAAAATGGCCTGTACATTGTTTCAATACAGCTGTTATTTAAATCTATAAAGTCGGTTCTGGTGAAAAAAATCACTCTGTTCAACATCCAGACATTTAATATCATTTCATATTCTTCCAGGAATCCGCCTATATCAAGTTACAGTTATCATTCAGTAGCTCTGAATGATAACTGAATGATAAATCCATTTCTGTTCTGTTCAACACATATTTAGTAATTTTGGTTGTCAACTGGTCAAAAGTATTCATGTTTCTAACATTTTGACCCATTGCTGTATATTGGCTTGTTTTCTGGACTAGGACTCTGGAAAACCAGAGTTTGAATTCCTTCTCAGTCTCAAAACACACCATGTAAACCTAAGCAAATCACACTTTCTCAGCGCTGGAGGATGAAATATCTTTCCTCAAGAAACCTTGCCAAGAAATCCTTTAATAGGTTCTCCTTAGGGTCTCTATAAGTTGGAAACAGCATGAAAGCACACAACAACAGTATATCTAACATTAGAAGTTTCAGTATTTTAGTACTGGTTTTCAGTTAAAAGTTTTCAGTTACTTTCCCTATTGGACTATTTCACTCTAATCACTATGGTTGTTACGCTGCCACTACTGAACATCTGCTGATAGCTTATTCTTTCCTGTTCACATAATTGCAATTGAATACGGAAATTAGTTTTAAAAATAAGTGCCCTGAGAGATTCTTAAGAAATAAACTTCATTATTAACCTACCATCAAATAGTCAGCATTTGATTTCTAGAACAACTGAGTAAGCATTTATATAGGAGCTTCTTCCAAGGAGATAATACATTAGGAAAATTCCAGTGAATGTGGAGGAAGCTCAGAAATGTTGCTTCTGTGTGTACATTATAGCAGACATAATTTGCACTGCTTCCTTAACATACCCAGTCTCCTTAGGCTATAAGGTACCCTGCTATAGGTCACTGTACCACATAACTATAGCCTTAAAATTAGGTGAGGTGAATTAAGTGAGAATATATTACCTCCATATTCAGCAGATAGAGGCCCACATTGCAGTTGCTTTCAGGTCTAGATGCAATTGTTCATCCCAAATTGAATCGATCCACTAAATCAATGAGACCTTGGTAAGTTAACATTTGTGTAATTTCCAAGAATTCACTGAATCTACCTCTAGGTAATTTACAGTAACAGATATACAAAGATGTTTTTTAAAAAGATGGACCTAATTTAAAATCACTACATTTCGGCAACCATGAACCTGCCCATGAATGCAACTTTGAAGAGAGAGTTTCAAATAATAGCCACTAGTTACCTGTCCCAGCGCACAAACAGTCCCTGGCCTCAGTCATTTGCAAGATGGAGACCTCACAACATGAGGCCTAATGAGATAATCTCTGTTTCTGGGATAAAACGGTTAGTAAAACTTGATAACTTGATAACTCATTAAATCATTTGTAGATTTGTGTGTAATTGTAAAATGTTGCCATTGTGAATCATACTGCTTTGAAATTGTAAATTGAAACTCTCAAAGCTGCAAGATAAATATCTCCAGTTTAATAACTGCAGTATAAATTAAAATTCTGTGAAAACAAAGACTGGGCCAACTAGACTTCCCATGAAAGGGTGTTCTCTTCCAGCTTTTATGTGCCTGTAAATGTGGATTTTGTGCAGAAAAACCATGTGCATTTCTGTGCAGTATAATTCCTTGGAACTTTCCTCCTATGTGAGTACTGGAAGAAGAATATGTGAAACTACAGAAATCATATATGGATTTTTTTTGCACGTTTACATTTGGTGATCATTTTTATTTGGCAACTCTTTACTGTCAGGATCCAGTTTCCGGAGCCCAGATTTTGGCGCCGGAAACTAGAATCCTGACGTTCGACCCTGATAAAGAATCTGCAGCTGGTGACCTTGAAAGAAAGCAGTTGTCTGGTRGCGGGAAGCTTTGCGCGGGGTATTGGGTTTGGCGGGACATTTTATCATTCTATATTTGTCCTTCCACATTTACAGGTAAAATCCCAGTCAGGAAATGTTCTCTGGAAGCACTTCTAAATGGATGAACAAAACGTCTGAATGAAATCGCCATAGATAGTATCACACAATTGTAAAAAACAATGCTGCTTGGAATATGCCACTATTGGATTCCTCAGTTCTTCTCTATAATTCAGATTATTGGTGGTCCACTGCTAGTCAGTAATACTCAGTAGACTATGAAAGGAATGATGATAGTGGTGATGATGAGGAAAAGTTTCTTAAACATATGTATTTAAAGCCTGGGAAGCAATGGGCAGAAAAATACTACATAAATAGTGTATAAAGATATTATCTTGTCTGTCATTTCCTCCCCTTCACATTGGATATCTATTCTTCTCTCATTTGCCTCCAATATCATAGTAAAAAAATATGGGGGGGGGGGGAGAAAACCAGTATAAAAACTGTATCCATTTGAATACCCCGTACAAGTCTGTCCCTTCAGATAAACTTGGTTAACAGAGAAGGCAACAAAATGTCTTGTAACCCTTGGATTAGTCTTAAATTAATTGTAGCATAAGCTTTAATGAACTGTTCCTATACAAGCTTGTGCTACAATACATTTCCTAATTTTTTTAAGGTGTGAGAGGTGAATACAGCTATACCTTTAAGGGATGTCATTGTGCTGCAACTAAAAAGCCATTACAAAGTGAATAGAAAGTGTTTGGATGCTTCCACAGCTGTCATGAACAGAGGGGCTCTGCACCAGCGGGGGAAAAAGCTGACTGTGTCTAGTTCTTGTGGTTGTCTTGTGGTAGAAAAATGCTTTCTATTTTTGAAGTTAAAAGCTGTGCAGTGTAAATTGAGCTTGTCGGTTGAGCCCTTGTTGTTGCTCTTGTCAAAGTGTTGCAGGAGGAAATATTAAGTGTAAATTTATTCAGACTGAGGACTTAGTAACA